TGAAATTTTCAGGGCCAAAAGGTTCTATACCGATGATTTGAAGAGCAAGAAAAACATTTTTAGAGCTCTTAACAGAGTTGTCGGCTCTAAGATGAGCTATCATAAGACTCAATACATCTTACTTGTGATTTCATCTCAAAAACAAAACCAAAACAAATAGAGCCTAATAGCTAATTATAATAACTTCACTTCATCCAAAAAGGATGAGAAAAGCTTGAACAGTCACGACAAATACATTGATGCTGCTGCTATTCTTTCAATTTAGCGTGATCCTTAAAATTTTAATGATGTCAGTATTCACAAGAGACACAGGCACAGTCAGTGTAATGCACATCCCTGCAAAGATTAAAAACAAAAGACAACGCAGTCTGTACTCAGCCTTTTATACAGCTTTAAAGCTGTGTGTGTGTGTGTGTGTAGGTGTGTATGTGTGTGTGTAAAGAAGGGAGCTGAGGTAATGCTGGCACAGAGGTCTAATCCATCACTTCAGCACCAGTTCCAAATTCATTCGAGGACAGACAAGCTTCCTCAGAGGAATAAAATCTGTCCGACTTCGCGGGTGGAACCACTGATTCACGCAGGTTTTGAAGGCTCGGCAAGTGAATGAACCTGTAGCTGCAGAGCCACCGCAACTTATTTCTTATTAACCACTCGAGCAGAAGAGTGTCAGGAGACCACCAACCACTTTTAAAATCCTTTTAGTTTTAAGTTAAATAGTGCCAAAATGATCAGCTGCCAGTTGTTCATCTGTTGATATCGGCTTTCACAACAGCTGATAAAGGCAACATTTAAACAGTAAAGACAAGAGAAACACCATTCAACCCTGGTATGAGTGTTGAGTAAATAATAAAAATTACAAAAAGTTTGGTTTGTGTCCAAAAAAGAAATAAAAAGAAATTTAAGCATTTTATATTATATTATATTTTTAATTTGGTTGCTTTATCAAGCGACAGCTCAAACCTTCGCTAAAGTTTCTGTACTGTGTGCAAAATGGAAGACAACCCTCAGTTTTAACTTAATATTATAATCTTTGAGTATTACAAAGTTAAAGCCCATCATTAAAGCAGAGGTTTGTGACACGGCTTGATAATAAAGTAAGTAAGCAAAATAATTCCGTTGTTGTGTGCAAACAGGAATAATGTATGCTTTCTGCAGAACGCTGAATAGCCACGTTGAAGGAAAAAAAAACCTTGGTGATTGGCTAATAATTTTGATTCAGAATAGACACCATTTCATCTGAACATATAGTATAAACAAGTATGAACATATTATCAGTATAAATATACTGTTGATACAAAAGGTGCAAACAACGTTTTAAGATGATTTGGGGTTTTATCACAAATTACGACATTAGGGTATTGGGTTGATAGGTTGCTCCACCCCCCCCCTCGTAAGGTGCTTAAAGGAGAAGCCTTAACACTCAAGCTAAGGTATCAATCAATAGATGCCTGTGAGCCAAAGAGTAAGCAATCAAAGTCAAATATTCAATCAGCATAAATGCTTAGCTACACAATGTGCATTAGCAGCAGCAAGCATCTGCTGCAGAGTCATCACTATCGACTCTGGGCCCTTCAGTTAGTGCCTAAGAATTGCTGGGGTTGGTGGGCGATGCCGTGTTGTCCTTAGAAGTCAAAAAGAGGGTTAAGAAGGTGAAGTGACATAATAATAAGGGAGTCTACAGGCGTGCATCAAAGTGACTGGACCACAAAAATTATAGACATGTTTAAATGCACACAGAGTGTAAAGGGTAGTAGTACCCAAGTTTCCCAGAAAATAAATAAATAAACAAGGAAAAAAGACACTGAGAAACCTCACAGATGTTTTGAGTTTACTAACCAACAGGTGAGCCCACATACCCACACTTGGCTTCTAAACTAAGTTATATTTGATCATCAAGCAGCTGAATACATTTAAGTCTGTCAGTGAAAGTGAGCCATGCGAGTCGTCTTCCCCATCAGGGTGAGACAGGCTCTCCCTCCCTCTTCTTTGCTCTGTGGACCAGCCAGGGTAACCCCAGCAGAGAAAAACAATGAGATAACAGGGGATATATGGTACTCGGGCAGTTGGCAGTTCTCATCTTTTCCAGCAGACGATGTGAGAAAGGGAGACTCTTTGTTGTGAGGATTAGGTGGCTGTAAACCCATTCTGCAGCAATGATCCTGGAAATGCTCTCATGACACAAAACAGTTTTTATATTTTTAACTGTGCAACTTTCAATACTTGATGCTCACTCGTTGTGTTTTGTCTTAAAAGTAGTTCAAGTATCTTCCAAATACTTTACCTGCATAAACTACAATGTCCTTGACTTTGTACTTTATGCAATAGGTGAAATTCTTCTTCAATCCTCTTAATAAAAGGAACTTGGTCAAAACATTAAACCTAAATTGAGCAATGTAGTCACTGTGCTAACCATTAACTGTTGTCAGACATTTTTTTTTTTGATAGACCTCATTGTCATCCACATGTTCTATATGCTTTCTGTTGAGGGATTACTGAAGCTGAAATCATAAAAATTGCAAAACTACTTCCTCCAACCAGTCTTTCCCCTGGCCTTTGTTGGGTGTTACGATGACTTCATGCCAGCGCATAGAGCCGTTTCATTCAGTGCATCTAACCTGCAAAGCACACAGCTGACACACCTCTGCACAACAAATAAGTTCACCTGGACCAGATTACAATTAGGATTTTAATATCTAAGCCATTGAAGAAATTAGAAGAAGCACCTTCGGTATCCTAAATAGGACAAAATGTCGAATCAACTACACTAATGACCATCTGTGTGATATTCATAAGCTGCATGAGTATGTACATTAGCTTATATGTAATAAATGATTCATCTCCTCAGAGACCCCTCACTTCCTGGCTTAATGCTACTGACAGAATCCTGGTGCCACTGCAAAAACTGTCATCTTTACTGTCATTGTTTGATTGGCTACTGTTCACGGGTTGGGTAGCGTTATGCTTAAATGATTACAGTTAAACAAAAAGCTCAGGGTCAGAGCTTGGGCAGCACAGCGGCATGTCTTGGTAAAATGTGGGCGGGGAAAAAATAAATAGCGTTTTGTGTATATAAGTGTATGAAACATCCAGAGAGACAGCAGAGGACAGAAGCTGCAGGCTTGTAAATGACACCAAAACGCACTTAGTCACTCTGTTTTTATTACATAATTATTTTGGTACAAACATTAACCTGGTAGTGTGGCACTGTGTTGGGATTTACTCACTTAACAGAAAATTCGCCTGCATTTGTCCTTAATTTTGAACACGACATGCGCTCTTCAACGCTACAGAAAGATTATATTATGACAACAACAAAAATTCTCATATTTCAGGTTTGTTTTTCCTTTTAAAATCTTTCAATAAGAGACTGCCCGGGGTCTTTCCCTGACTCACAATGGGCCTCCGGGAGGTACAACTGCTCTGCATGTAGTTAAGGTTATCTTACACCCACTGGCTACTTCATTACCTCGGCCATATTGACATGATAGCATCACACCGTTGCTGTAGACTTCTTGGCTACAGAGCCATGATGTGAATCTCCTGTTCCACCACATCCCAAAGGTGCTCTGCTGCACTGAGGTCTGGTGACTGCAGAGGCCATTTGAATACAGTGAACTCACTGCCATGTTCAAGAAAACAGTTTGAGATTATTTGAGCTTATCCTGTGGCAAATTAGCACACTTGATGCAGCCATCAGAAAGTGGGTACACAAAGTATACCCACAAAGGCTTGGACATAGTTAGCTATAACACTTCTATTGATCACCAGGGTGGTCTTCTCCTGCTACAGCCCATTTCTAAGGTTTGCCATGTGTTGTGTTTAGAGATGCGCTGCTGCATACCTTGGTTGTAACAAGTGGTTATTCAAGTTGCTGCTGCCTTCCTATCAGGTCAAAGCAGAGTTGCATTGCTCTGAGTGGCTGATTACATATTTGCATTAACATGCAGTTGAACAGAGATCTTTTAAAGTGGCCAGTGAGTGCAAGTCTGCGCACTTTCCTGATATTTGTTAAACAAAAATGTATTTAATTCTTAATTAAATTAAGTCCAACTTGGCTAAAACAGTTTAATTTCAATACTGGTGATTTTCCTTTGACGGAAGAATAAAACTGCTGCTCTCCTTAACTGAAATTATACTGTTTATATATAGAGCAATAATAGCAGCGGTTGCCAATTACACATCATTTTTCTAAACCACGAGTGGGTAAAATAGGGAAGCAAAGATGCTCTTTAAAATGACCTTGTGACACAAGTGATGCAACATGAAAGGAAGTGACACCGACCTCGTCTCTCCATCTTGTGATGGGTCTAAAAATTTGCAATGACGCCAGGCTGATCACCAGCTTGTGCCTTCGAAATAAGTTTATATTTTCCAGGAAACAGAGTACCACTTCACGCCACTTAGATTTTCTCTATATAAGGAATGATCTATTCAGTATCTGCAGTATCCGATGGCCTTGAAACGGAGCAAAAAATAAATGAGCTATTGTCCCCAACTGAATACAGTGGTGGCTCACAAACTGGTGCCACAGAAACACACTGATGGCAGACACACAGAGAAGCCACTATAGAAGCAATGTTTACGTCATTATCAGCGACTCTGGACCTTACACACACGCACATTCACTGTGACTCGATGTCACTACAGCGTGCACACACAACTACTGCAAATCTAAGGCAAAATATACCAAAAATCAGTCTTTGTCATCTAGTTCTCAGAAATGGTTCAATTTAGACTGCTTGTTGTCAGAAATACCAATTTTTAATTTTTGGAATTTATATTTTTTAACACCTCTAAAATATCGATCACAGGTCGTAATGAGCAAAACGGAGTTTAAACATCTTTAAAAGCTGAAAACTCATCCACGCAGCATAAAATCAGCTACTACCTCAACAGGAAGACGTTCATCTCTTTAAAAGCAGTAACAACTATAAACTTCAGGGCCTTCTACATCTAGAGTGTAAAGGAAGAATTTCAAACGCTTGTTGCATCCTAATTTAAAGCAGCTCTTTCACAGAGTAAATCCTTTAACTGGGCACCCAGCTGGATGTGGAGCTAGGGGAGAAACTGTAGGCAGGAAATCCGATCTTGCTGTATTCCATGTCCGAGAATCCGGGAGCAACACTCCCCTGATTCATCCTCCAGAATTTCGAGGGCTAGCAGGGGGATAGGATCCTTTTCAGGTTGTATTGCAAGTGAGCTAACAGCAATCTCTTATCGTGATCTTCTATGCACACATATAGGTTTACACAATATTCATTTCCCACAGGTTTCCCCCCCCCACAGAGTCTTGGATGAGTAGCAGAGCAGACTTCTGGTCTATACATCAGCTCATTTATCACCTGAAAGACCTGAAATCTGGAGTGTGTGTGCACGCTCTGTAAAAACATTACTGACAGTTAATACACAGTTTGGCCTAGATTGTGTCCAAGTCAAGTAGTGTGCTATTAAAAAGGCCTGCTTTGAAATAGGAGAACTGTCAGCAAACCATCTTCCTGTTATGAAGTGGGAAACAAAGGTAAAAAGAAGACAAATACATAAGCTGCGTGAGAAACTTCTTTTCATCAACAAAGCCAGAACAGGAGCCACGAGCAAGAATCCTATTTTTTTTCCTCCCCCTTCTCTGCAGAGGAACTTCATTAATCACTCTACCTTTCCCGTTAAAATCTGAACCACAAGTCATAAAGCAAATGTTCAGAGCGGCAGCAAACGATTGTATTGAAGGCTCCAATACAGCCCTGAGGAAGATGTCCCGTGGTGGTCTAATAGTTTCCTGGCAGTATAAGTGGAGTCCTCCTTCAGAGAACAATCAGAATAGTGTTTGAAGTGACAGGGATGATTGGAGGAGGGCTCGGAGAAAACGAGTAATGAAAAGCAGAGGTGGAACTAACTCCATCCACATGTACAGATCACAGAGACAAAGCCCTAAATGAAATCTTGTGCTGTAAGGGAGTAGCTGGCCTTTGATCACACATGAAAGGTAACAAGGTCACAAAAATGTTCAGTCTGACATACATTTAATTAGCAGTGTCATGTGTCTTACCAGGAGTTCGTCCATGCTGGTCTGGCACTTCTCCAGGTTGATGCGTTTAATAGCCACCTTCTCCTTGCGTGGTATACAGTAGGCTGCTTGAACCACAGCTGTGGCCCCACTCCCTGAAACGCACAAGAAAACAAGTTATTAATACCTTGATCGGTCATTCTTTCAAAGGTGGGTCATAGTTCATCTCCCCGGCAATGTTTTTCAGCCTCTCCCGACGGATGGTGGCGTTTTCCAAAAGTTATATGTGCCCTGAAAACTTCCAACAGAAGACATCAAAGAGAAATCCTAATCACCGTTTGATACACATCAGCCATCTCCTTTTTATTTTAAGCTCCTTCCAGATGTCTGAACTCTTTACCCCGACTCTAACGGTGATTCAAGCCACTCAGTGGAGGAAACTGTCCTATAGTAACTTTTATTTGGGATTTCATTGGTTTTGTGATTGATTTGTTTTTGTTTTGCTGTCATACACAGGTTTTTATGTCTTTATCTTCTGTGTTAAGCACATAGAGTTTATATGTAATGAAATAACCGATATATATATCCATGACAGAGCCTTCACCGCCTGAGAACGAACCAAAAATGTGGCTCCATCACTCCATTAGACTCGCTGCCTCTGATTTTCAGTCCAGTTCTTATGTAATTTGGCAAACCTCAGCCTTTTCTCCATTACATTTCCTTAATAATGGCTTCTTGACTTCCACCCATCCACTGAGACCATTTCTGATGAGGCTTTTAATGCTGTTTTATGCTCGTCAAACTGTTATCTTTGGCATTTTTTCATAGATTAACTAAAGAAATAGGCCGTTTTTGTGACGGGCTGCTAGTAACAAAGCGTCTAAAGATACAGTTTAAATTGGTTCTTGGTGAAGTTGTCCGTTACGTGTAAACACTGGTTAATCCTTTGAGTTAGGTGACTTTTTAATGGTTAAATTACTCACAGTAGAGTATTAATTATCTTTATCATTTAGTTATTGTTTTTATATAAAGTATAAAGATATAAAGACTGGACTGAAAATGAACTACTGCTGAAGACCACTTTGAAAACTACAAGAAAATCTGGTTCCTTGGAAGCAAAATAAAAAGAAATAGAACGGTGGCTCAAGCCTTTTGCACAGCACATCCAAAATTCACGGCTACCGCAGGATAATAAACATAACTTTTATCTGTTACCTCAAATTCCTTCAGAGTTCAAGAAGGTTAAACCGTGTTATACTCCGACATGTCATCCAAATTCTCTTTGGTACGGCTTAACTGTTTTTTTCATCAATTATGAATCCGCTCATGCAGATCCTCTCTCATGAAGCAGGCTTGATCGGAGCCAGTGACTGCTTGACCTTATATATCCTTAAGAGCTTCATCCCTGACAAGTCCCTTTTTTTCCTCTCCCTCTTTGTTTTTTTTAACATTGCTCTATTACTGAAGTGAAAAACCAGGGCTTACAGAGCAGAAACTCTAGCTGGCAATACACAACATTTTCAGTGTAATGCATACGTTAAACCCTTACATCTGTTTAGCCTACTACTAATCTGATGCACAATAAAACAAAAAATGTAGATTACAATCTGAATAAAGTTTATGGCAAATTAAACACAAGTGGGTGATCATTATCTTGAATAACATGATACTTTAGGACTAAAAGCATGTAAATGTTCCCCTGTATAGTGCGCAGTAATTTCACTGCCCCCTCACTGCTCTCATTTAGCACCAAGCACGCGCAAACAAGGTTGCTTCCACAAGATCTCTCGTGTATAAGTGACGCCTGCCAATGCAAGTAGCACATTCTCCTCTTGCAACAGGCTTTGGTAAGTGAAGGAGTTAGTGGTGAGTTGGCCCACTCCCCCAGTATGCTTTTTCTAACCTCTAGTGCCCTCATATTAAGCTATGCCCAAATATTAACAAAGTCCTCATTGTTTGGAGTTTTCATTGAGACTGTTGTTTATAGAAGTTTAAAAAGGGGGCATATTACAGGAAAAAACCCCAACTCTTTTCAAATTAAAAACTAATGCTCTCCCTAATGACATGACAGACATGAAGTTAACATAATCCAGCTGTTTTTGTTCAAGATATCTGCGTATTTCCAAGCTCTGTACAGGATAAAATGGCAAAATCTGTGGATCCCAATTTATCCTGTACAAGTTTCTGTCGTAATTAATGTATCTGCCTTCTTCAAACCAACAACGCAAGGTGGAGCAAAGGATGTGGTGACTGAAAAGGACAAAAGAAAAAAGCGATTCCAGCTGATGACTACTTATCAAATTATTGCAACTTCAATAAAATGTTCCCATCAAATGTTAATCTGTTACCTGCAAACATTAGAAAGTTACAATATATGTTTTCTCTGTATTTTAAACAACAGTGGCACAGAGGAAATATTGCTAACTAAAAGTGCTTGTCCTCTCCCCACCTCTTTCGCTGCCACCCCTCCATCCCTCTACAGCAGCGCTCACTGATCTTGAATACACAAAATATGAAATCCTACTTCCTACAGGGTGGGTGCGATCTATTAATTGTAACCTCTTCATAATGTGCGGTTGTCCTTGCACAACTCTGCACCGTCCAAGTAATCATGGATCGCTCCACCGTTGAACGCTGGAGGGGTGGCTGAACAGTGCTGTAAATGTATCCTCCAGCCCCTCCCGACCCCTCCACTCCCTGCACCAATACCAAACAAACCTCTGGAGGCTGGCCAGTGATGGGAGTTCAGCCCCTGGCAGAACCAGAGAGAGACAGTTTCCCTGTACACAGTGGAGTGTAAATTCCTCCACACAAACAAACAGTGAGTCGTCAGGGGTGGCTGGACAGGCTGGAGAGCATGTGTGTGGAGAGCATGGAAAAGGGGAAGGCTGTTGGGTAAACAGCAGGCGCGGTCAAAGGGTACCAAGAGCCACCAGGACATGTAGTCCAATTTATCAGCTGCTATTTGCAACTCCCCCACCTTAGCACAAAGTTTCACAGAGCAGGCGTGTGTCTGCTACGTGTTCATTTAAAGGATTTTTAAATACCTCATCTTTTAGTTTCTAAAAAAAAAAAAAAAAAACATAAATTAAGTAAATAAACTATGATGCACACAGAGGGAAATGCAGAAAATCTCATTAGGTAAAAGCCAGCAAGCTAATAACAATTTGAGAAGAAGTCTGACCTTATTATGACTCACTGAATACAGCCAAGTCAAAAAAAAAGAAAAAATCCAGATCTTACAAAATAAGCCTCAGTCACATCACCGTCATTCTTACAGACAGCACATCATCACCAACCTTTCTCCCCGAATGAGAGAGAGCACACAAAAGAGCCATACTCACAAAAGGCAAGCACTGCAGTAGTGCCAGGGCTTTGAAGCATCTAATCTACTAAGCAGTCTGGCACAGATACAAAGGCTGCAGATATAAAGCAGTAGTTTTTCTTCTTCTTCTGTTCCCCCCCCCCTCCCCCTTTTTTTGTGCATTAATTAATAAATAAATGAATCAACTTTATTTACTGTCAAACCACATAAATGAAAACAAATACTTCAAAAGTTCTGGCTCAGATTTTTTTTTTCTATTTCCAGCAGCACAACAACAACAACGACGACGACATTTTGCTTGCTCTGGAAGTTGATGGCAAAATTAAATTCATATATTAAGTTAATTCATTAGGCGAAATCAAATGAAGACGATCCAGCCGGCAGCTGAAAATGTGACATGTTGACATGGCGTTACGCTACCTTGGTTATTTCTATGCGTTTTCATACGCATATAGATTTAATAGAAATCAAGATTTTTCAGGTGTTGTTTTTATCTTTTTGTCTGAACTGTAGCCAAAACATCTAAAGAAATGACTGTATGAACGCAGTTAGAGTGGGGATACTTCTTCCTGGTTTCCAGTAATTAAGATCTATAATTACCCAAGTGCTGAGTCAAGAGGAAGCATCCCTACAGATTTTGCATATACCAAAGGGTCCATTTACTGTCTGAAGCTGTCTGAGTCTTAATTACCATCAGAGGGAAGTTTAAGATCATTCATCACATTTAGTTTTAAAACACGGTATGTGCAACAACCCGCTTGCCTCCAAATAGCAAGTACAGCTGCATACAGCGTGAAAACAACTTGTGTAAGAGAAGCATCTTTGGAGAAGGAAAAAAAAAAAGAAGAAGAAAGTGTTTTCAGTAAGCATGTTTCCTCAAAACAAGTTGAGTTTGGCATGGCAGCATTATACTATAACCCTGTTATTTGTGAATGACACATCAAAGTTTATAGATTTTTTTTGGGGGGGGCAACAGCATTTACCATTTGAGTCTAAATACTGTAATGAGGGTTTAATGAGAGCCAACATACAGATCATGGGGTCAGAATTTTTGTAATTTTGCCACTAAACAAACAATGGCCAGTTGAAGAGCAGACTTTCAGCTTTAATTCAAGGGGTTTTTACAAATGTTTTGTTTTAACTGTTTAGGAATTACACCCATTTATATATACAGTCCACCATTTTCACAGGCACGACTAGTTTCGTGATTACCTGAGGCCCATTTCCTTAATATCTGAAGTGGATGCAAAGTGTTGAGTTTTATCTAATAGCCTTTCACTGCAATTTTAAATATGAAGCCCAAAGAGATGTCAATGTAAGTGAAGGAGGCCAGTCATTAGACTGAAAAATCATAATAAACTTATCAGACAGCAAAACCAGTGGCCAAGGCTTGAAAGAGCACAGAAGACAACTAAAGTGCATGATGACAGAATTATTTCCATGGTTAAGAAAAATAACTTCATAACGTCTAACAAAGTCAAGAACATGCTCAAGGAAGTAGGAGTAACATTGTCAAGGTCTAAATTCAAGCGATGGAATGTAAATACAGAGTGTTAAACAACAAGGTGCAAAGCACAGGTTACAGTCAAGGACAGATTAGACTTTGCCAGAAAACATCTTAAAGAGTCTGCACAGTCCTTAAAAAAGTCCAATTTAATCTTTGGACAGATGAAATGAAGGTTAACAATATAACTGGATGGGAAAAGTATCAAGAAGTAGAGAAACAGCTCACGATCTGAAGTATACCACATCATCTGTCAAACATAATGGAGGCAATGTTATGGCTCAGGCACGTATGGCTGGCAGTGGAACGGGTCGGTAGTGTTTATTGATGATGTGACTGCTCCCAGAAGCAGCAGGATGAACTGTGAAGCATACAGGGCGACATTTTCAGCTCAAATGCTGCAAAATCGATCAGAAAGCACTTCACGGTGCAAAAGCGACCCGAGAGTTTCTCAGGGTAAAGAAACGAGCACGAGCAGGTCAGTCGCCTGATTTCAACCCAACAGAGCACTCTGCTCAGTTGTTAAATATACAACTGAATGTGGAAAGACCAAAAAACAAGCAGCAACTGAGGAAACGCAGCATTGGATGCCGTCCATAGTTTTTAGCCTTTGGGCAGTGATTGACTGCAAAGGATTTTCATCCAAGTATTAAAAGCAATTTTTAAACATACAATTATGTTATTCTGTCCATGAAAGTGCAAAAAGTCAATTCAAAATGTTTTCCAGATGGATGATGTTTTTGTGGTTTCTTATTCTCACCTGTACCTATGCGTTCTCTGTATACAAGTGTAAAATAGCACTTGTATACAATACATCCTAAAACTCGATGACATACAAAATAATCCAGCTTGTATGCAAGAATACTTTATGATGTCACGAAATAAGGCCTGAGTCAATGTCTCCCCTTTTCAGCTGTGGCCTGCAATGTGACAGCGGCTCTCTCACCATATCTTTCCTGCTCTCACCAGGCCATTTCAGTGCCTGACGTCAGTTGTCTTTTATTACATTTCTTCTGCATACCTGGCTGACATTCCACAAGTTATTCAAAGGTACAACGAGAAATGTCACACATGACTAGAAACTGCACCGGTCCGGCACTTACAGCCTTTTAGTGCATATTCCTCTTCCATGTTCATCTTCCAGCTTGAACTACTTTAAAAACTAAGGCTTAAAGCCTTAAAATGGCATTAAATTACAGAAATCTTAGCCTGAGGTTGGATCCTGTTGTGGTATCTACTGAAGGTTTTTTTAAAGCCATCTAAGGGACAGAGCAAGCATTAGGGAGGAAACATGGTTGCTGGTGGATACAAACACTGGAAGCAGAAAGTTTCCAGTCTAGATTTGCCAACATGAATGATCTAAATTATGATCCAGGATCGGAGAGAGAGCTGTATTATTTTCCTATGGACCATGTCCAGTATGATCCAATGCTTAACAGAGGGAGAGAGTGGGTGTGAACCATGTAATAGCAAGTCCTCTTTCCCCAGGGAAGTTACAGAAAACAATAGCTTCGATGGGCACGCTGTGTATACAGAGCCATCCTCGACGCAGGAGCCTCTCAGCCGAGCAGAGAGCTGTGCAGCATCTCCATGAAAAGAGACCATTTATACAGTATCTATGCAACACTTTCTGCTAGGATGAGGACTAGAGGTGGGTTCAGAGGGGAGCCTGGCTTGCTCCTGCTCTTATCTGCAGTAGTAATTTAGCTCCACTAATGAATACCTGAGTGCTACAAACTAAAGAAAAGCCAAGCCAATTGGTCCGTCTATTGAAAGTCCATCAGCAGCGAAGAAGTCAGCGTCTATTTTATTAAATTAAAAAGAAAGTGAGATGAGGTTCTTAAAGAAAAAGGCCTGTGATTTTCCATTTTCAACCTTGTAATTGCAATAGCAAGTCGCTTTGGTTTTGTCTCAAAACAAACAACCTTAAGATTTAAGTTGGTGTCATGAGGATTTTTCTGTATTTCCTGCCTGACGTTTTATGAAACAAATGATAAAGAAGACACTCAGCAAGTTATTTCACAATGACATGAAAACATATATGTAACTCCCGAGGGCAAGACTGAATGTGGGACTTTGCTTTAATGTGATTCCCACTTGTGCTAAGAACATAAGAAGTCTTTAAGAGCGTAATCGTGGACTAAAGAAGAGCATACAAGCTTTGAGAATAGAAAGGGAAATTTAGCTTTTTTAAAAGAAACCAATAGCTCTTCTCATGGTTGGTCTCAAGAGAGGAAATTGCAGCATCTTAGATCTTTCCTTCAACTTTTAAAAGAGAAAGAGAGAGAGAGGGGACTGTAATTTTGAAGCTGAGGAGGAACAGGAATATTCTTGTTTAAAGTGTGAGCCCGAGGATGCAGCCTCACACGGATGGTTATCTCCTTAAACTCGATGACATGCAAAGTAAACCAGCATGTTCAGATTTAAGGGGCACAACCTGAAAATAATCTGAGGGGACAAAACTAAGGCTCACTGTACAACCGCTTTCTGAGGCCAAGTTAATAATCGGTTCAACAATGAAACAGTCTCACTAGTTTCAAACTTTTGTGAGCAATTTTGTGTTAAAAACACTTCATAGGAAAATACAGCAGAGCTGATTGCTGTACAAGAAGGGCTTTATCTTTGTGGGCATGCCAAATTTCAGGGCGTTATCTTGCGTGGTGACCCGGTACAAATTTTCCAAGAAACTGGGGAGGGCACAACTGGGTCAAAGTTAATTTCAGCTCTTTTAAAAATACACAAAAGGGTGCTTTAGGGCTTGTAAAATTGACCCTCTGTAAACATACAGATTCCCTGTAGAGGAAGCATGCACTGCCTGGGCAAAAGTGAACCAGAGGCACAAATGAACCCGTCTGGGGGAACAATACTTTGCTTATATTCTTCACACTCTTCTCCTCACCTTCTCCCTTTGAGATTTATTTTTTTTATTTTTTATTTTTTAAACAAAGCCAGCCCAAAGGTAGGACAGGTCATCTATTTGTGGGGCTGGACTTTTCATAACTACACAAGTGAAAGCTCCTCATTAAGTCATCCTCTTAACGCTGCAAGGAAAGGTGAAACAAGCCTCCAGGAATTTTTTTTTTTTTAACTTTAGAATAGTATCAGAGGAACAAGAGCAAATATTAAAAGATTGTTGCTTATGTTAGCCATGAGATTAGTATTGTGAAGCCCTCTAATACTGACTGGTCCTCAGTAAACGCTCTTGCAGTGAATTGACCCAACTTTGAGGACTACAGCCTGCAAATTCTGCCCTGTCATCATCATTATTATTTTATGTATTTTTTTTTTTAGGAGGGGGGCTTTTAGCTCCTGTGTTTAGTGTATTACAAAATGAGATAGGAGTGAATAATAACACAGTGGGTTTAAGTTTTAGCCTAGCTACAGTATCTTTACATGGGTTACTTTTAGTTGCCCCACCCCCTCCAAAAAATAACTTTGTCACTTCTATTAAAAAATAAATAAATAAATCCTGCAGGTTAAATGTGACACAATTAATACTATTGCTATCCACAGATACGGCGTCCTCTAGCTAAAGTCTATTTATGAAAGTATCAAGCTAGCTGTTCACATGTATGAAGAGCTGCTCAATGAAAGCAGTTATTTTCCAGAACGTAGACTATAACGTTATTAACGTTCGTTTACGACTTCGTCATAGCCCCAGCGGACGGGGTCATCGCTCTCGGGGGAGGCATTCCTCTGACTGCCCAAGTCACAACACCGCCCGGCTAGAATTGGCCAATTTACCAAAGGCGAAGAACTCAACGCAGCTCAGGAGAAGGAGGATGCCTTCTTTCTGTTCGGTTAACATCTGAATGGTACGAGCTTGTGTTCATCGTCCTAACCCCTGCGTTCAGAGAGAGCTCACGGGGAAATTCAAACTGACGGTTTACACGTAGCTAACAAGCTAAGGATCACATACCAATCACCTCGTGTAGCTCGTAATCATCTTTGTTGATGGACCAGGGTTGGGAGCTCAGGTCCTCCGACATGGCTGAGGGATCCGCTGGGGCAGGACTCTCTGTGTGTAGAAAGGTGGCGAATCCAAAAAGCGGGCGTAAAAATTAGTCAAAGTAATCCAAACAGGACTAACAAGAGCGACACTTCCCCTTCTTTGCGAATCCTGCAGCACTCCTGTCATTCCCAAAGTTTGACACTAGCCTAGCAGCCCCGCCTACCGCATTCCTACTGAGAAAATGTGACCCTTCCTGGCGGACATATTGAGTGTGGCACACTATCGATGCTGAGTGCTGCGGTTCGGAAAACTGCCGAAACAAGCCGAGTGCTTCCGCCACACTTTTAATGGCGGATCCCACGCGACATCGCCCCAGAGTGTGCCCTTACAGGTTTAGGTTCAACTTATTACCTCAATATAAACCACTTCTTTTCCACTAAAATTAGCACATTATGCTTCTACTGATTCATCATATAATATAGTTTGAATGGCGTACAATGTGAAAACATCAAACCACCAAGCTAGGCAACTGAAACACCTGACAGGGAAAAGTCAGGGATTAACATTCTCAATGAGCAGTCTGTGAGAGGAGGCATGTTTCTCCAGCAAGAGCCTGCCTCTGATTGGACAGAACCACGTATACTGCTTTCTGATTGGGTGTTCGTGCGTTTACTGTAAAGCGTACACCACAGTTTTCCTTACCGCATTAAATTAGAGACCTCTGGTGGTTTATTTTATACCATACAGGATTTGCACAGTCACAACAAATGCAGGGAAACTAAAGGTATATTTCATTTTATAGTTCCATATTATTAATTTTTTATTAAAAACAAACAAACAAACAAACAAAGACTTTGAATAATACACCACGTTAACTTTATTCGTTTATTTAAAAAAAAACAACAACATTATTTTAATTGGTCTAAAAAGAGCATTTTAAAAACACAAACTCAAAAGTAGAGATCCCACAGTAACAGAATTGCTGCACAAAAAGGCAGGTGTCAGCTGTCAGTAGAACTGAACTTGTGAAAGTATCAGAGCCAAAACAGTTCTTCCTCTTTAAGCTTCAATTTCATGAACAAGTTTGCTCAAAAGAGGAAGTGGCAAAAGAATGTACCCTTCTTTTCAATGCAACACACATAAAACACAAAATAGGGCCACACAAAACCCCTGTTAGAAGTGGAAATCTCATAATATGATAATGACTCTGTGCACTGAGAACTTTGTTGCTACTGTGCAGTCTCACTTTCATAATGACAGTGTGCAGGAATCTGTATCGTCTCCAAAGGAAGTGCAATTTGAAGCAGTAAAATATATACATACAGTGTAATCATGAGATTCCTCCAATGTTGCATTTGGCCACTGTCCAACATAATCTTTTAATGGAATAACAAAAAGGCACTTTGAAATATGATTAACCACCTGCTCCACAGTTATGGCAGCGACAGAGCTTTGGCAAGCCGAGTCCAGAACCAGGCCTGCGTGCAAGGCCGGGTGTAGTCACAAATGGTGAGGAAGCGTAAAATGCTGGGGAAGGGCTTTGTCATCGGCTTGTAGATCACTGGAATCAGGCGTTTACTTCGAGCTCCTGAAATAGAAAAAAAAGAATATAAATGATTAAGCTGCATGCATAAGCCAGAAAAATTAAAACAGGGTTGTTTAATATAAAATATTTATATATGTGTGTGTGCATTACCAGGACAAAGGCTGAGAGCAAACTTGGTCTGAAAGTCACAGGCATCGCTGTTGAGATATTCATCAGAAATCACCACCACCATCCGTTTACACCTGCGTGCAAGGTCACATATTATAGTCAGTTGCAAAAACTGTGAGAGCAAGAAAACAGAGATTTCAGGAAACACGACTGGCTGAGAATTGGATTTCTTCTGTCAGGTGACTTTCAATATCTGAATTTCAGATGAAACTGACGTTAGTTATGTCTGGCTTTCTAAACAATCTCTGAACTTTCCATTTCTACATTTTATCGACACGCACAGGCACGAATACACAGATTATTAACCAAACGGCAAACAAGTCTGAACCACATCCTGCGCTAGTGCATGCTTCATGACTGCGCCTGTTGGAATTCGTGTTGCATCTGACTAACAAATGCAAAATTGAATTGCAAAAAAACAAAAAAAACAAAAAAAAAAACTGTAAATCAGTATCATGTAAACTGCTTTTTTTGGACCATAATGACCTACTTGGAGTTTCAGACTCACACCTGGCCCCATAACGTCATTCGCTTAATCACTTTTTCAAAACTGAAAAGACCAAACAAAAACCAGGTTAGTAAATGTGTCAGTGTCCCACCTCTTCTCGATGAGTTCACTAGTGATGGTCCACACGCAGGAGCCCGGGAGGACGTCTCTGTCGAACACACACAGTTTCAGCTTGTAGTCCGTCTGCTCCAGCTCACGGATCATTTCGTGGACGAACGCAAAGTCGCTCTGGCAGTAGCAGATGAAGGCATCAAACATCTCGGGAACCCCTGGATTCAAAACATCTCGATTCAACTCAATGGTTAAAGTTTCACACAAACACACACACAGAGGGCCATTAATCAGAAACATCTCGCATCACTGACACAACATAAAACTCCTAGAGCAAAGTACATAAGAATAATAAGAAAACCACAAGGCTGCGGAGGAAACAGGAGCAGCGAGGCCGTGTAGCAGTGCACGATTAGTGCTTCAGATAAATGGTCAGATGAAGAGACAAGTGACAAGTAGGAGTGTTTTTTTCCCCTGTGATAGTTTACCACAGAAAACACCCCCGAACAAACAAACAGCTACAAAGTCTCGAAGTTTCGAATATATAACAGATGAGTCTGTGCTGTTTATTAAGGAAAAAAACTATAATAAGTTGATATTAATAAGTATTGTGAATTTCGAAGGACGCCTACATTTACAAAGTGAAGGAAATCATTATGCAAATACAGTGATCGCTGATGTAGCTGGTTAAGCTGCAATCAGTTAAAACTAATGCATATAGGGCTGCAGAACTTAACCATATCAGCCAAATGTAGCAAAGAGAGCTTTTCAGTGACAGTGGCAGTAATACTGCACCGATGCTGAAGATGAGCAGATTAGAGGACATGTGCTGAGTCATTTACGCTGTCTTTGAAGCGTTATTGTTAATGCTAATGGGAGGTTCTTTATAAAATATTTCGACATAATGTGAGCATATGTGTATGCATATATATTATTGTAAGTTCATACAAATGCTCACCTTCAGGGTCATCATCCACAGTGATCCCAGACCTCTCAGGGGTGCGAGGGACACAGCTGTCGACCTCAGGAACCTGGAGCGGGGGTTCAGCTTTCTTTTTAAGATTCTCACAGTACTTCCGGACATCCTCATCTGGGAACAAAACGGCGCAAAACCGCACACATGAGCGCAAACATGCAGTCAGTTCAGGGAGATGCTTTGGGAATGTAGGTACAAACGCAGCAGACTCCATGTGATGGACATATAGCTGTGTTTAAACTCGGTTATTACACTAACGCTTACGCATTTGGGCAAATATTGCGAAAGATACTCTCTTAGTCACGAGTGTAAGATCTATTTAAGCAACATTGGAATTCATTGTTAATAATTTCCTGAACCAGGCGACAGGGGCAAGGTGGGGTACAAAAGCAAGCATGCATTAAGAATAAGCAGAAGTTATGACCGGTCCTAATCAATGCAACAACAAAAAAAATCGATCCTAATCGACGACAGGCATTTATTTATTAAAGACAAGTGGATCTAAGTGGAATGGCAGTAACGCACTTATCAGTGGTCGCAGATCCTCCACGATGTCTTCTCTGTCCAGCTCCGAGAGCATTGACAACAACTTCCCCACTGACGTGTCTGTGCTCCGGGCCTGCCAGTCCTCCAGAACCGTACAGGTTGGGTTTTTGGACACTTCGTAGTTCTTTATTTCCAGGTAGTTGAAGCCCATGGCCTCTGCGAGCGCCATCCAGTCCGCTGCTACCGTGTGCTTGGGGTTCAGATAAAGTCCCAGCTTTTTCCTCACGCTCATGTTTAGCGCAACGAGAGGAATCTTCTCCAAGTCAACTTTCGAGTCGGCGCAAGCCATGTTCCAAAAGTTTCCGGTTAAGTTAACGGAGTTTTTTGTATGAGTAAGAAAGACTAAACATTATAACGATAGACGTGATTTGAAATGCTGTGTTGTGTCGGAAGTCTACAACACAACCTACCTGACTGAGGAAGTGAAGTCTTTGCGCTGGAGTGCGTCACAGACGGGGGGAGGAGATGTGTTATGTACCAAGTGGAGCTAACAACCCAAAGTGCGATTCTTTTATTTTTAAAACACCGACATTATTGTTATTACTATTACAACTGCGACCACAAGAGAAGAGAGCTTGTCAAGGATAAATGAAAGTTCTCACAGGAGCGAGCTCCACTGAAAATAAATAGACACGCACGTTTTCTGTTCCCGTTTACTCTCATCTGTATAGCTTCTCAGAAAGAGCGGACTGACTTCCTTGCTCTGATAAATGGAGGTCAAGATTTAGTGCATCAGATAGCAACTTTAATATAGCCGTTTTGTAACCATCACACATAAAGCAAAAACAAAGTATAAATGCACAGAAAACCTGCAAGAACAAAGTAACAGTAATCTGTTCAAAACATCATATGAGGTCATTGCAGGTGATTCTGAATCATAAAAAAACCACACTGTGGTTTTTCACAGTGGCTGCATAGCCGGAAACGCAGCGAAGGATCCATAGAAGGCCCTCGATGTGGCAATTTTCTACAGAACTGATGGCCTGATCGGTGAAGTTAAAGCACCGTAACATGTGCTTCCTCAAATCCTCATTCTTCAGCTTCCCTGAATCAATACATCAATGTGCCAGACAGATTTTCATGGAAACAGTTCAAGATTAAATCAGTGGAGCGTCCACGTGTTCACAGGTTCTTGCTTCTGGAGAAGTAGAAGTCGATGCCTCTGTCCCGATGCTGTTTGGGGGTGTGAGACGGGCCTTTCTTTCCTCTTGGTGAAGGTCCTGTGCCACCCTGAAGAAAAGAAAGAAAGAAAAAAACTTTTTTAAAACTGTATAAAAGAAAATACACACAATTAAAAATAAAATAAGGAAAGAAATGTAGAATTTGTTTTTAAATACATCTGAGGGATGGCAAGATATTTCACTGGGTAGAAAAGACACAAAAACAATGTTATGTCACAAATTATATTAACATTTTTTTATTTTCTAAAACAACACAATGAAAGTGTCGACCTCTTCTGATTTTAATAAATGAAACACTTTAAGGGGAAGTGTTTCTCTTGTTGCGGAACTGGTGACAACGTGACAAGGGGCCCCAAATAGACTGGAGCAGCAGACGCTTTTCTATTTACTGAGATAGAAGTGTATATTATTATTTATGGAAAGTTTAGTTTAAGTTTAGATAAAGCTGAAGAGTAACATGTAGTAATATCTGCCAGATACATGTAGTGGGTTAAAAGTGCAATTAGGCCTTAGAGCTGTAGTAGATAAGAAGTACAAGAACTAGAACGTACAAACAATAGTGGAGTAAGTCTATTTATATCTAAGCGCTTTTATTTGCAGCAGTTATGGATTAAACACTAATATAGCAGCACTACACAATCACACTAACTACGTCCCCCAGACACCCACCGCTTTCTTGTTAATGTGTCTGCTCCATTCAGGTGCCATAACAATGGGAGCAGGATAGGTGTCGCCGAGGGTCACATGAGCGTGGGCCAGCGCAGCGTTGCTGAGTGACCATGGTGTGTGCACATCACCTCCTCTGATATTCTGCAACTCTGGAACCCACTGTCGGACGTAATCTCCCTGAAAGACAAACGCAAACCGATGAGTCAAAACTGATTTCCTCACATTTTGCCCTATTTTTAATCTCAATAATAAAGCAGCAAAGCCTGCACAACAGGTGACTCAGCAGTTTTGTCTTGAAGCGCAAAAGGTAAAGTTTTAGACAAATGTCAAAAGGAAATGAAACGGTGTTTACTTCGTCAAACGTACATTATTGTCATAGTCGAGGCCTTGTTTGATCATGTTGAACTTCCTGTTCTCTCTGGGGTCATTTCCAATCCCAGCGCTGTACAGCCAGTTACCATAATTGCTGCAGACATCGTGGTCGATCTTTGTAAGGAACATTTAAAAAGATGAGTTTTGTATTAATATCTGAATATTATATTCTTAAACAACTAAGCTTTGAAATAATGTATAAAGATAATAAACAACTACTGCTTACCAGAAGGGACTCAAACCACTCAGCTCCCATCCTCCAGTCAAGGCCCAGATCCTTTGTGAGGAAGCTAGCGACATTTTGACGCCCCCTGTTGGACATAAAGCCGGTCGCTGCCAACTCCCTCATGTTGGCGTCAACAAAAGGCACTCCGGTGCGTCCCTCTGTACGTTCCAGTTGCACATAAATTCACCTTTATATTCGTATACTACACGTACTGTTTCAGTTCAAAGAATAATTCATGCAGGATGAGTGAAGAGCACAAACCTTTCCATGCATCAAATAGCTTCATGTCCTTTTTCCATGGCACAGATTTGTCTTGAAGTCCTGAGTTGAAGTCACAGTGACATGAAATATACCTTTTCATGCAGACAACAACAATAATAATAAAAGTAACATAAAAACATCATCTTACTGTACCTTTGACCTGAAAAATCCTATTTCCGTACTTCACACTCACAAACCTGAAGTAGTCCCTCCACAAAAGCTCAAAAATTACCCTGTAGGACAGCAGGGAAGCTCATCAGATAGGGAAAAAATAAAATATGACAAATATAGATTTTCACATATCACCAGCCTGTGTGCTCACCAATATGTGCTCTGATTAGCTGTCCGCTCCTTCTCGTACTGCTTGATCTGATGATAAATATATCTGGGTGAAATGCAACCCATTGCCAGCCTGCAGGATACCAAAGCCGCACCATTAGACAGAATCACGGGAATTACCTCAATGAAATATTAAACTCTATGTAGCAAAGTGGAGCAGAGAGGCAGTGATACATTTGTACTCACCAAGGTGAAAACTTGGTGGAATAATCCACACCGATTAAACCGTTACGAGTCTCTTTGTACGTTGCAACTGCATCCTTTAAAACAGACATCATGGAGGATCTTTAATAGATCATCTGGGATTTTTTTTTCTCCATAGTTCTCTAAACAGCAGCTAATGTAAAACACATTTTGCACTCACAGTGTCCCAGAAATAGTGTTTAAGTCTGGCCAGGGCGTGACTCTCCCCACCACTGCAGGGGAAGGCTGAGCGAGGATCAATCACAGGCTCTGGAAGGGGAAAAGCGTTTCATGATTAGGCTTGAATCATAAACACATAGAATAAATGCGCGGACATGTGTCTTGGTGGATTGTTCACCTGTCTGTTGCAGGTCCTCTGCTGTAGGAATGGCTCCTTCCTCGAGGCCTGGAGGAAGGGGATTTAGCTTCTCTGGGGTTGAGAAGACTGGCCTCACCCTGCCCTCGCTCTCCACTGCCTTTCTGAACTGAGTGTACACATCGGGAAGCCTAAAAACAGAGGGAAATATTACAAGGCACTTCTTAACCTGCAGTGTATCTTTCACAAAAAGGGTAGCTTCCTCTCTGTATCTGCTTTCACACCTGGACATGTGGGGGAATGGAAGATCATCTCTGTGGTACAATGTAGAGCCCCAGCAGGTATGAACTTTGACCTTCATCTGTGCACACACATCTTTTACCCTTTTCTCCACATTCAGCTCTTCTGAGGTAACCTGTAGAAAAAGCACATGATGGTGAAAACCACGCTCCAATGGCCAGACAGCACTTTTGCTGTTATCTGTAATATGAGAGAGCACCTCTTCATGGAAAGCCACACTACTGACAGAGCCCAGTTGCCTGATGAGGTCTGCAACTACTTCCTCTGGCTTACCCCGTCTCACCACGAGATTGCTGTCAAACACACACACAAAATAAACACAGAGACACATATATAAGCCTCATTCCATGCCAGGCAAGCTGCATCCTGGGTAGAGTGCTAGTTGACAGGAAAAAGTGATGGGAACAGTGTGTGCAGAAGCAATGCTAATATAAACATAACCGCTGTTAAGTCCAGGTGCGTCCTGATCCTGTTACACGTATCAATTCAATCCTAGAAAGCCAAGGCCAGTGTCTTCACTGAGTTAACAATAACATGATAGAAAAGTAAACTGATCTCTTATAAACCTTTCATAGAGACTGTGAGTTAGCGACAGTGTAGCAAAGGCGAAACTTGACAGTGGGGTTAGGTAAAGAAAAATCTTGTGAGTGATAGTTTTATTACCTGCCTTTGCTGATCAGTGTGTTTCTGAGGTCTCTGATACTCTCCAGTAAGAAGCGCAGACGGAAAGGCCCAGTCTTTGGTAAGCTGTAGTTGTAAGTGCCCACATAGTGTCTGGGGTCCAAGCAGTACAGCGGGACTATGTGTTCAGCGTTTCTTTGGGCCCAGTGGAAAAGCTGCATATCGAGCATACAATAAACATACTGCAGCAATTATGTGAAACAGCACATTTGATTTTATGATAGAAACACCTTTGACTATTGATATGGATGGTAGAGGTGGGCTTGTTTCTGTCCTCCAAGTAGAGTATGTGACTCACTGAATTGTGTTAAATAAATACATTTTGTGTGCTTTTGCATTTTTTTCTATTTGCTGTTGCTTTCTTAAGTTGCTGTACATTTAACCACTCAGTACCACCCTAGATATGGTTTACTTTATAAAAAAAGAAAAAAAAGAAAAGAAAACCTAATAAACGAAAATTGAATTTAATATTTAAAATTCCCTGAAAGTTAGCAAGCATGCTCAATGCTTTTGTTTTGGGGGGGGGGGGGTTGGTTCAGTGAAGAATATCTCTAACAAGTTGATTTGTTCACATGTACCCATCTTAATTGGTGGGGTAGGTGCGGTTTTATATATATTTCTTTTTTTTTCTTTTTTTAAATTGTAACTAGATGTCACAAGTTTGTGGAAGCTTGTTTCCACCACCGGGGGGGAAATGCCAGGCAGAACCAATGTTTTCTACAGTCATTGGGCAGAGTCCAAATTTGGAATTTATTTTCGAGTAAGTCGAAGTTTCGAGATACGTAACTCGAATTTTTAAGCTATTAAGTCAAGATACTAACTCGAAATTTTGATTTATTTATGCAGTTTTTGCAGCTACGAAAATAACCTTAGATAGTGTTAGATTCTGTTACAGTATCTAACTGTATCTAACAGTT